GGAGGAGAATGAGGATGAAGGGGATGGGGATGGGGGAGGAGGGGAATCAGGAGGAGGAGGAGGAGGAGGAGGAGGAGGAGGAGGAGGGGAGGGGGAGGAGCAGGCGGATGACGAAGATGAGGCGGGGGAGGAGGAGGAGGAGGCGCAGGAGGAGGAGGAGGAGAATGAGGAGGATGAGCGCAGGAGGAGGTGAAGGAGGAGGCGGAGGAGGAGGAAGAGGGGGAGTGAGGAGGAGTATCAGGAGGATGATGAAGCGGAGGCGGAGGAGGAGGAGGAGGAGGAGGAGGAGAAGGAGTTGTAGGAGGAGGAGGAGGATGGGGCAGAGGAGGAGGGGGGAACGAGGAGGAGGAGGATGAGGAGGATGAGGAGGATCAGGAGGAGGCGGAGGAGGAGGAGGAGAAGGAGGAGCAGAAGGATGTGGAGGAGGAGGAGGAGGAAGCGACAGAGACGGAAGAGAAGGATGACGATAAGGCGGTGGATGCGGAGGATGAGGAGGAAGCTGGTGAGAAGGATGGTGATGACGCTGATGATGGTGATGATGAGGATGAAGATGATGAAGGGGAGACTACGGAGGAGGGTGGATCGGAAAACGATGATGTTGCTGCGGCTGCTGTTGTTGATGCTGTTGGCGATGATTACGGTGCTGGTGATGATGTACTATTCGTGTGGTGATGCTGGCGACGACAGCGACGCTGCTGATGGTGATGGTACTGATGCTGATGATGCTGCTGTTGCTGCTGATGGTGGTGGTGATGATGCAGCTGCTGATGCTTATGGCAACGCTGATGCTGACACTGATGATGATGATGATGCTGATGATGCTGATGATGATGATGATGATGATGATGAACATGATTGTGCTGATGCTGACGATGTTGATGATGTTGGTGTTGATGACGATGTCGGCGATTATGATGACTATGTTGATGATGATTGCGAGGTGGATATATACATATATATATATATATGATTATGATGATGAGGATGCTGATGCTGTCAATGCTGATGCTGCTGATGGTGGTGATGTTGACGATATCGACGATGCTGATGCTGCTGCTGTTGCGTATGCCGTTCATGATGGTGATATCTATAATAATGGTTCTTAGTATGATAACGATGATGTTCATGATGATGCTAATGACGATGCTGGCGACGTTGCTGATGTTGACCGGTATGCTGTTGATGCTGATGCTGATCTGACGACGTTGGCGACGATGTTGATGATGCTGATAATGATAGTGATGATGATGGTGCTGGTGGTGACGATGATGATGATGATGCTGATGATGATACTGCCGATGTTGATGATGTGGATGATGCTGATGCTGATGAGGATGCTTCTGATGGTGCCGATGGCGATGGTGGTGATGATGCTGATTATGCTGATGATGCTGATGATGCTGATGAGTCTGCTGATGCTGCTGATGACGATGATGCTGATAATGCTGCTGATGATGATGCTGCTGATGATGCTCTTGGTGATGCTGATTGTGATGTTGCTGCTAATGCGGTTGACCATGGCGAGTCTGTCGCTGCTGCTGATGCTGATGATGGCGGTACTGATGCTAATCATGATGATGATGATGCCAATCATGATGACGGTGATAGCGATGATGTTGATGCTAATGATGCTGATGATGCTGCTGTTGCTCATGCTGGTAATGCTGATGATGCTGCTGCTGATGATGATGAGGTTGATGGTGATGATGATGCTGATGATGATGATGTTGATGCTGATGCTGCTGATGATGCTGATGATGGTGATGCCGATGCCGATGCTGAGTACGAGGGGGAGGACGAGGCGGAGGCGGAAGATGATGATGTTGAGGATGAGGGCAGTGATGAGGGGGAGGAGGAGGAGAAGGTGGAGGAGGATGAGGAGGAGAAGGGGGGATTACGATAAGGAGAAGGAGCAGACGGAGGAGGAGGCACATCAACAGGAGGCAGCAACGGATGAGACAGAGGAGGAGGCGGAGGAGGAGCAGGCGGAGGATGAGTTGAAGGAGAAGGAGGAGGATGGGGGAGGAGAAGATGAGGAGGAGGAGGAGGAGAGGCGAATAATGAGGAAGAGGAGGAGAATGACGAGGATGACGAGGCGGAACAGGAGGAAGAGGAGGAGAATGAGACCGTGATGTATTTTCCATCGCCACATCAAGAACGAATTGCTTTTGCAGGCTTGTGCGAGATCATGCAAGACGGCAGGCGAGCTCAAGCCTGAACTTTAAACTCGGGAGGGTGAGGGAGGGTGAGGGAGGGAGACAGAACTAAAAAGGCTACACTACGGAGCAGTCTACAGAGCGATTCGCATTCGGACTCAACTGGGAGCAAGCTCTGGAGATGAGACCGTGATGTATTTTCCATCGCCACATCAAGAACGAGTTGCTTTTGCAGGCTTGTGCGAGATCATGCAAGACGGCAGGCGAGCTCAAGCCTGGACTTTAAACTCCAAAACCCCAGATGCAAGCGTAACCACGACAGGCGGAATGAGACACCATGTGTATCACAGAGCTGGGGCCACGAGCTGTGCGAGGAGCGCACAGAACTCGACAGGGTATGGTTGCGCCATGGCCGTGCGCCAAACTCCTTGGGCGTCTTTGCCCTCAATGATGGTGTTCGTTATCTTTGGGCGAGAGATCAGGCAGACCATACAAGTATTTCGTATCATCTCTGAGGGGGCCTGGCCCTCTCCCTCCCAGCGCCTGGCTTTCGACCACGTCTGGCATGGCAGTCCGAACCAGATGAAACGAATGAGGCCATCCACAATCTCTTTCTCCAACTTCTCAAGAGCGCCGAGCTTCAGAAAGTCAGCCGCCTCGCCTTGCTCGATGTCCCAGGCCTCTGCTGGGATGCCGGTGCTGGCGAGAGCCTGCGAGAGCCGCCCACACCCGGAGAAGATCTCGACGGCGCGGCACCCCTGGACGAGGCGCCGGCCTGTGGGAACAAAGAGATGCGGAACGCGGCCTGCAACTTGTCTAAAGCCAGGGCGCCCTTCTTGTTCGTGTCGTCCGAGACCTGTGCCTGCTGCTGCAGCAGGCGACCGTGCGCCTCGTACCTCCTTACTGTGCGGTCCGACAGCCAGCGGCCCCTTGCCTTGACTGCCGGGAGCGACCTTCTCTTGAACAGGATGTCGTGGCTGGGGTCGGAGTGTCTCATGTGGTAGGCGGTGATCTTGAGCTTCTCCAGCCCGACCGCCTTGGCCGCCTTGGCGAGCGCCGGACCGAGGAGGGGGTACTTGAAGTCGAAGAGCAGCCTGTCCGACTGTCCCCGTCGAAGCCCGGCAAGCAGATGCCCCAGCCATGGGAGATCGATTGAGACCAGCACGAGGCTCTCCTCGAAAAGGTTCACCTTGGAGGGGTGCTGGTCCATCTCCTCGTGCATGTGCAGACTCCAGGGGACAGCAGACGTGGTGCGAGGCGGCGATACGAGGGACTTCTCCTTGAGCCTCATCGCCTCCCCGGGCCGCAGGTAGGCCACCCACATCGTGACCAGCGCGAGTGCCATGAGCGGGTTCCCCATGTTGATCAGCTCGAGCCACAGAAGCGCCAGCAGGTGCAGCGGCACTGGGGGCCGCGTCTTGCCAGGCTCCAGCCTGGTCCAGCCCTTGAGCGCCTTGCGCGCCCTCGGGAGCACGCGCGTCCCCGCCTTCGAGTAGTCCGGGTGGAAATACATGAAGGCCGCCAGCATCTTCGTCCTCTCTAAGACGTCGTGCCCGTTCTTCCACAGGAGGTTGACGTAGTCGGTGAGCACGAGGTCCAGCTCCTTCTCGAGCTTGCCCGCCAGCTGCTTGGTGGAGACCCACTCCTGGAAGGCGGTGTGCCGCTGCTCGTAGTCCTTGTAGGTCTTGGCACTGACCGAGCTGGACTCGAGGAAGGTGTCCTGACCCGCCACGGCCTTGGCCCCGGAGGCGCCCGCCACCGAAGCGCGGGAGGCTGCCCGGGCCCTCCTCGTGGCGTCCCCAGAGGCGAGCATCGTCCTCCTCGTCCAGCTCCAGCCACTCTGCGAGCGAGATGGAGGCTCCTGCGCCGGGCGGAGCGTCCGCTGCACAGGCTGCGCGCCGGCGCGGCTCCCAGAGCCGGGAGCCCTCGTCGGCATGGTTGGACTCTGACGGTATCCAGCGATAAACGTAGCGCGACCCTGAGGCCACTGAAAAGGCAGCGGATTTTCTGCATGACTTGTTGAGAGAGAATGATGATGACCTCCCGTTCTCCATGGCCAGCACCGTTCCTAGGTTATCCCCCAAGAGCAGATGACGCCTTCTGAACCCACAGAGGCCCCTCGTAGTATGCCGAATGCCAGAAGCCATACCGACCCCCTCCAGGACCGAGATAGGCCCATCACGTCCCCGAAATCTCGACGCATACTGAAGCTTCCAGTCCCCCTTCTGAAGATACTTCGGATTGATCTCGGCGAAATCGGGATTCGGCTCGTACGGCGAGATAGTTTTCGGCTCGATCATGGTCTTTACGGTATTGATGTCGGTGAACGGGTCGGCAAAGGCAGGCAGGGCAGCATCACGAGGTGCAGTCGCAGACGGCAACGTACTCCGATATCTCCACTTTTCCCGGACGGTCCCGTAGCTCTTGATGACCTCCTGAGGCCAGCGGGTAGCAGCGACAGCATATCCAGACAAGCAAGCATCGGTAGCGACGACCCTGTCAGACCACTCCAGACAGAGATCAAACATGGTCACCTGGATGAGGTACGACACCTGACGAGCCTCACGAACTGCCTCACCCCACAGACGTCCCGGAGCGGCACCCATCTTCGAAGCGAAGTCGCACATGCGCCTAAAGACCGAGAGCCCAGGACGAAAGATGAGGAAGGCGGCGATACAATGACCAATGAAACGGCTCAGTCCCAATCCTGTGATCCGCGGCCTTCGTGACAAGGCACGGGCAGCGGCAGCAATCCTCTCCCTACGCATCGGCTCGACCCAAACCTTCATAGCCTCCCCGTCGATGTGATACCCCAGGGCAGTAAACTGTCTAACTGGACCAAACACCTCATGGACAAGAAAACCAGAACCTCTGAGCTGAGCAATGACGGCATCTCGAGCTGCCGTCGCACTATCCGGGGTCGCTGCTAGAACCATCAAGTTATCACAGTACACATTCAGAACAGGCAAGTCGGAGCGCCACTCGGGAACGGGGGCGCCCCTCCATGAGCCTCGACGGGGCCCAAGGCAGAGCAAGACAGATCTGATGAAGATGTACGCGCTGAGCGAGCCACATCGCCCACGTCCATCCCACTGGCACAGAGCGAAGACGAGGCCTGACTTCCAAGAGACCGTGCAGGTCTCCACCGAGGCGAGCGGGCACACCCCACTCCAGAAGCAAAGCGCCAGGCACAGGAGGCAGGGCAAAAAATGGCCGCATCTCAGGCGGCATGGCGAGCCAGAAGAAGTAGTCCGCGATGTCGGAGCCGGCACCCCACATGCCCTGCTCCTGCAGCTCCGGCGGGATCTGCAGACCGGCGAAAGCGGAACCACTGGCCATGCGGATCTTGGGCGGGCTGCGCCAGCGGATGTTGGCCACGCGGCAGTCCCACGCCAGCCGCTGCCTCCCAGACTCTTGCGCACGAAGAACGGGTAGACGGTCTCGAAAGCCTCCGTCCCAAAATCCACGAGGTTGGACTCGAACAGGTCGCGGACGAACTGATAGTACAGCGACCTGTCCCTTTTGAGCCTCACGTCCATGTAGGGCTTAATGAATGCCTGCTGGTCCATGATGGCCCCCATCTCGACGGGCGAGCGGAGCATCGCGGTGGTGAAGCCGTCGACTACGCCTCTACCGGAAGGGTCAATGACGTTGGTCAGCCAAGGAGGCGAGGCCCCCGCAGCTGGCATCGACACCCGGCCTCGATCATACGGCTCCACGCTGCAACTGGAATCCCCCCCAGCATAGGAGAACTCCGATCCGCAAAGCGCCTTGAGGGCTTCGCGGTCTTTGTACATTGACGTGCAAGACGGCCTCGCCGCCAGAGTAGACAAAACTTGACCATGTGCAGCCCGATGAGCAGCCGTAGGCCGGAAGGTAGATATGGCGGCTGGGGAGGCCAAGTCGTTGAGCGTGTCAATCACCCCGTTGGCCAGAAGCTGCCTAGACCGCCTCCTCGACAGACGCTTGAAGACGGTAGCAGACAAGCCGGGATCAGGACGCTCGTCGACTTCGACAGCAGGGAGTGGAAATAGGTCACGCTGGCGACTAGCATCCACATACCGATCAAAACTTGCCGAAGTCGGGTCCTCTGGCACAGCACCGCGGGTGGACCAGGCCCGCGCGCCAGGAGGCATTGGCGTTATTCGCCCCCCTCCCCGCCGGCCGGGGCGAGCCCTCCTCTGCCTCCTTTCCCCTTGCCCTTCTTAGGTTGCCTCGTGCGTCGCTCCTCGGCTGCCTTGCGCGACTCCTTGAGGATGGCGGCCTCGTCCCGGAACTTGGTGGCGACGTGGGCCGCCAACTCGGACGCCACCGAGGCGGAGGCACTGGCCGGCCTCCACCCCATGAAGTGATCAGCTCCTGAGAAGTCGGGCGCCGACGCGGACTGTGCATAGGCGGACTTGATAAGCTGCAGCCGCCTGACGACCATCTCCATGCTCTTGAGGGCTGGCACATTCAGCTGGTCGTGACACACGGCGGCCGACAAAACCTGCGACAGGACGAAGTGCTCGTGGATGGCCCGATCGCCATCATGCAGCTTGGCCTTGCGCAGCCAAGCCTCGTGAGCGGCCTGGGGCGTCGGCCCATTCTCGGCGATGTACCGGCAGAACCAGGCGGCAGTCCGCGGGCACTGCAGGTCCAGCCCGCCAGCGGGCAGAGTGTCGTCCTGCCGCTGTACCCCCTCTCCGAAGGCAACGCGGCGAGCCCCGCTGGAGTCGAACTGCACCGGCAACACGCGCAGGTCATCATAGGTAAAGCGGTAGATCTCTGGGCGAGTGAGCTGTCGCAAGCTCACGAAGCCCCCTTTCCATGGCATGATGGCCCGATCGCCGAACGCCACCGTGTCCGCGGTGATGTCGATCTCGGTGCCCTTCGGCAGGTCCTCGGCGTCCTCGGCGGCGACCCAGACGAGATCCGCCCGCGGGGCCGGAGCGGCCGCCCCAGCCACCTGGACTCCCTGGCCGGGGGGCCTGGGGTTTGGCGGCCCCTGGCGGCGGCAGCGCGCGGGGGGCAATGTCGCCCCCTCCGACCCGGCGAACGCGGAGCCCATCAGCAGGCGCCGGGAGCCCCAGCGCGAGGGCCGCATCAATCAGCTGCTGCCTCAGCTCCTCCACGGCGGGCGGCCCCCGAAAGCGGTAGATCTGGTCACCGCCGAGCCCGTGAGGCGTATCCCCGAGCCCCGCCGCGCCGCGGATCCTCTCGACGTCGGCGGAGGCGGGCGAGCAATCCTCGATGTAAGCGTCATCATCTGGAGTCAAAAGGTAGTAGTGCCCCGCATCAGTGGGATGGACCGCGAGCACGATCCTCTCATGCCAGAGCGCGGGCCCCGGCACGTTGTACTTCAACAGGAGCACGTCACCGACCCTCGTCATGACGACGGGCCTGGATGACTGCGAGCTGCTGCTGCGCGAGCGTCTGCACGTTCACGTCCTGCTGCTGGCCGGCGGCCGCAGGCGCCTGTGGCGGCGCCGGCGTATAGGCGTCCTCCTCCTGCCGATCAGCGTCGGCACCGCAAGGAGCGCGCCACAGACCCAGCCCGCCAGGAACAGGGCCAGCCTGGCGAGGCCGTACGCCAGGTACCCGACGACGCCCGGGCCCTCCGAGATGCACTGCACTTGCACCGGAGGGATCTTGACCTCCGGGCAGTGCAGCTCGACCTGCGCCGCTGGCGGCGCCGGGCAAGAGAGATTGACCACCGTGTCCTGCCGCGCACACACCGCGGCCGATATCGCAGACTGCACTGAGAGATCGAGAAGCCTGGGCAGGTAGCTGAGAACGCTCTCCCACATGCAGGGAGAAAAAGACAGAACCAAAAAAGCTACACTACGGAGCAGTGTACAGAGCGATTCGCATTCGGACTCAACTGGGAGCAAGCTCTGGAGAGGAGGAAGAGAAGGCGGAGGCGGAGGCGGAGAAGGACGAGTAGGCGGAGGAGGAGGAGGCGGATGAGGAGGGTGATGATGATGACGATCGTGGGGAGGAGAACCTCATGGCCTGGGGTGCTCCTTGCACCGCCCCGAGGCCGAGTTGCTGGCGGCCCGCTTCGGCTGCGCCCAGCCCGCGGGCATCACCTCGGGAGCGGGCGAGACCGCCTGAGCGGCCAGGCGCGCGCGCGCGCGTGTGTGTGTGTGTGTGTGTGTGTGTGTGTGTGTGTGTGTGTGTGTGTGTCTGTGTCTGTGTGTGTGGGTGGGTGTGTGCGCGTGCGGGTGCGGGCACGCGCGCGCGTGCGCGTGCGCGTGCGTGTGCGTGTGGGTGTGCGTGTGCGTGTGCGTGTGCGTGTTAGTGTGTGTGTGTGTGTGTGTGTGTGTGTGTTAGGGTGTGTGTGTGTGTGTGCGTGTGTGTGTATGCGTGGTGTGTGCGTGCGTGCGTGCGTGCGTGCGTGCGTGCGTGCGTGCGTGCGTGCGTGTGTGCGTGTGTGTGTGTGTGTTGTGTGCGTGCGGGCACGCGCGCGCACGTGCGCGTGCGCGTGCGCGTGCGTGTGGGTGTGCGTGTGCGTGGGTGTGCGTGTGCGTGTGCGTGTGTGTTAGTGAGTGTGTGTGTGTGTGTGTGTGTGCGTGCATGCGTGCGTGCGTGCGTGTGTGCGTGCGTGCGTGTGTGTGTGGGAGAGAGAGAGAGTGTGTGTGTGTTGTGGGGGGAGTGTGTTTGTGCGTGTGGCCGTGTGAAAGTGTTTGCGTGTGCGTGTGTGTGTGTGCGCGCGTGTGCGCGCGTGTGTGTGTGTGTGTGTGTGTGTGTGTGTTTGACTGTGTGTGAGTGTGTGTGTGTGTGTGCTTGTGTGTGTGTGTGGTGGGGGGGTTGGGGTGGGTGGGTGGGTGGGTGGTTGGGTGCATGTGTGTGTGTGTGTGTGTGTGTGTGCGTGCGCGCGCGTGTGTGTATGTGTGTGTGTGCGTGTGTGGCACTGTGCGTGTGCATTTGCGTTTGCCTGTATGTGTGCTTGTGGTGGGGTGGTGGTGGGGTGGGGGGGGGGGCAGAGAGGGAGGGAGGGAGTAGGAGGAGGGCGGAAGGGAGGGAGGTTGGGAGGGAGGATGTGGAGGAGGCGGAGGAGAAGGAGGAGGAGGAGGAGGAGGAGGAGGAGGATAATGATCAGGAGGAGAAGGATGAGGATGAAGAGGGGGAGGAGGAGGAGGCGGAGGAGGAGGAGGAGCAAGAGGAGAAAGAGGAGGAGGAAGAGGAGGAGGAGGAGTAGGAGTAGGAGGAGCGGGAGGAGGATGAGGAGGAGTTGGAGGAGAAACATGATGAACGGTGAGGAACGAGGAGGAGGATGAAGAGGACCAGTGTAAACCCAAGAACCATCAACGATGTTGTAATAAACCCTCCCTCCAAGCTCCCTCTCCATATGTCCTACAGTGCCACGGATCAAGCTGACTGTTGCGTCTTGGCGATCCCGAAACGCACCAGAACGCCATTCCTGGGACTTCAACACAGCGAACCAATGCACCCTCTTAATCGGGAGTCCGTCTAAAGAACATTTCGGGTGCGTGGGTCATGGGAACCAGTGAAAATCTTGCAAATGTTATGAACGAAGGCACGCTGTGCTAAGGCGAGAGCCACATGTTGAAAAGAAACCGCCCTCAGCCCGTGAGACTCTTGCAACTTCTTAAACCGAATGTGCGCGGCGCTACTTCGAGAGCCACATGTTGAAAAGGAACCGCCCTCAACCCGTCAAGTTCTTGCACATGCTTATAACGAATGTGCGCTGCGGTAAGGCGAGAGCCACGTAATGAAAACCATTCGCTTTCAATCCGTGACACTCTTGCATTTTTTCAAATCGAATGCGCGCGGCGCTAAGGCGAGAGCCAGAATTTGAAACCACCCCGCGCTCCATCTGTGAAGCTGCTGCCATGTTTTAAGCTTCAGGGTCATGCATGGTGAGGAAGTCTCAGGCGAAACGCCCGCCCCGCCCTAAAAAATGGCCCGGGGTGCAACATGGATAACTTATGTGTAAGGGCAAGGATGACGGAGGAGGCGGAGTAGGAGGAGGAGAAGGAGGAGGAGGAGGTGGAGGAGGAGGAGGATTATGATGATAAGCGATGAGGAGCGATGAGGAGGCGGAGGAGGAGGAGAAGGAGGAAGAGGCGCAGGCGGAGAAGGATGAACAGGATGAGGAGGAGGAGGAGGAGGAGGAGGAGGAGGAGGAGGAGGAGGAGGAGGAGGAGGAGGAGGAGGATGGAGGATGGAGGATGGAGGGTGGCGGATGGAGGATGAGGAGCAGAAAAAGGAGGAGGAGGAGGTGGAGGACGAGGAGGAAGAGAGAGGAGGAGGAGGAGGAGGAGGAGGAGGAGGAGGATGGAGGAGGATCAGGAGGAGGAGGAGGAGAAGGAGGAGGAGGAAAGGGAGGAGGGGGAGGAGGAGGAGGAGGAGGAGGAGGAGAAGGAGGAGGAGGAAGAGCAGGAGCAGGAGGAGGCAGAGGAGGAGGAGGAGGAGGAGGCAGAGGAGGAGGAGGAGGAGGAGGAGGAGGAGGAGGAGGAGGTGGAGGAGGAGAAGGAAGAAGAGGAGGAGCAGGAGGAGGAGGAGGAGGCGGAGGAGGAGGAGGAGGAGGCAGAGGATGACGAGGCACACATTTAAGCTGCTACGCGGGCGACCCCATTCACATGCAAGGGAATGCTGGGGTGGGGGGGGGGCCCAGCTCGCTGGGGTCGTGGGCTGAGGCTTCAAAGGCCTCTGGCCGCTGCTGACGCCTTCGCCGCTTTCGCGTATCGAGCAGCCTGGTTCAGCACGGCCGCCTCTTTCCACGAAAGCCCGAAACAATTTCAAACCTCACTCAACATCCAGCCCCCTGTGGCCACGCAACTCCCTGAGAACCGCAAGAGCGCGTTTTGTGGTCGTTTGGAGCGGGAGGGGTTTGGAACCGGGCCCCCCTCCCCCTGGATTGAAGGGGGGGGGTTCAAGAACAGACGAAAACGCCACGAAACCTCAAGCCTCGAGCCTCGAATCTCGAATCCCGAACGTTCAAAAAATTCCGACGTCGTGATTTTTGCGCGACGTGGGCTCCCATAGGTCGGGACCCTCCCCCGGGACCGGTTCTTCGCCCCGAGTCGTTTTTCGATGGTCCTAGGCCCGGCGAGAGATTTTGGAGCCCGAAAGTGGCTAAAAACATACGCCTGCTGCAAGGCATCCCGAGGAGGCTGGGACACCGCCGAGAACCGCCGAGAACCGACGAACACAACCGAAAACGTTTCTTCGGGTTTTCTGGTCCTCGTCCTCGTCCTCGTCCTCGCTGTCGTCCTCCTCGGGCGCCTTGGCCGAGCTGCATTTCTCCGCGGGCCGTCTGGGCGCCTTCGTCCTCGTCCTCGTCGTCCTCGTCCTCGTCCTCGTCCTCGTCGTCGTCGTCGTCACGTTGTTTTCTCTGGGTTTCTGTCCGCCGCCCAGGGGCCGAGCTGCTGGCGGCCCGCCTCGGGCGCCCCGCAGGGTGGGCGCCGCCTCGGGAAGCGGGAGGAGCCATAGTCGGCACGAACGACATAGGGGCGGAAATAAGTGGGTACGATTCGAGTAGGAGATCGACTACACAATCGACTACACAATCGAGTAGGAGGTCGACTACATAATAGTGCACGGCTTGAGTAGGAGCTCGACTACATAATCGAGCTTTCCCGAATTAGGTTTGATCGTCGAATCCATAAAGAATCCGGAGAAGAGTTGCAGATCTGCGGAGCACTTTGCGCATCTTTCTTAGATTCGACGGAGAAGTCGATTTTGGTGTACATCGATTCCGCAGTCGATATCTTACTCGAACGATGCCCAACAGCAATTCCTGTTTGTTTGAACAGGGCTCGCTCTCCGCGCCGCCGCGGATGGTGTCCATATGAAATATAAGGCCGCCTGCCCAACAGCGGTGGCTGTCGGTTTGTGACAACATTTGCTGTTGGGCATCGTACCCATTTTTTCCCGTGTCCATTTCGGACGTCCAAACAAATGGCACTACACCCAGATCTCCGACGATGTGGTTTGTTTCGATCCGGATGTTTTTCCTGGGCAATGAAAAATGAATCCGGGACGCAAGTCTACCCCAGGGAAGCGGTAGGGAGCTTGGGGCCGCGGATTGGGAAAAACCATATCGGGGGATGTCTGGACACAGGCGTGATCTCTGTCGGCTCATTGAGATCTGGGCGCTGCATTTTTTTCATACAGGGCGATTTTGCAAAGTCGCGGGCCCACGGATCGATCTGGCTCGAAAAGGGGGGCAGGAAGATGTGGTTTGGGGCCCCGGTCGTGACTTTTGGCGATGTCGCAATTGTGTCGCAACGTCGGATCTCAGGGCTACGCGAGTGAGGACGGCGGCTTTTTCGTCGTTCTCGTGCAAAAAAGGCGGCCCAGGGCGAGAAACTGGTCCCGGTCTGGGAGGGAGGGCGAAGGTACGCAAGCGTGATCTTTGTCGGCTACACGTAAGCGTGGCCTCTTCCTGGAGTGACCTTGGTGCGGGCACAGTCCCAGAGATTCGATGCTCCGAAAAAATTGGAGCGGCCAGTTTTTGGCCATTTTCGGTTTTTGGGGCCCGAGGACCGTCAAACATTTATTCAGGAGAAGCTGGCCCTCGGGAAGTTGTTCAGACCCCCAGGGGGCCACGCATCGAAAAATTGGGAGCACCAGATGTTTGGGCTGGGGTCTCCAGATGGCTGAACTCGATGCGATAGCAGCGTCCTGCGCGCTTGGGTTTGGCCACTCCGCGGCCCCCGAAAGCCGCGCAGCAAAGGTCACTCTTGCCTGGGGTCACTCTTGCCTAGGGTCGCTCTTGTCTGGGAGGCTCGCGAGTGTTTTCTGGGGTTTGCGCTGAGTCCCCCTGAGCCCACGCCCTAGGGCGGCGCCCGCAGCGCCCCCCCCCCCGCCCCCGGCGCGCTCCGCGCGCAGGGGAGGGGAAGGGGTGTGGCCAGAACTCCGATGTCTGGATTTTTTTTCGCAACGTGGACCCCAGGGAGTCTGGCCACAAACCTCCCGTTGTGATTTTCCGCAGCGCGAGGTGGGGTGGGGAGTGGGGTCTGGCGTCGACCCAAACGGGCCTCCGACTCGAGACATGCCTGTGCGGTCCTTTGCTGCCTCGGCCTCGCCAGTCAGCCTCCACCACCGCCAGCGCTTC